AATTAAAACTTGTGAACTTTGTGATTGCAGAACAGTGAAGTGAAACAGTGCAAGGAATGCAGTGTTAGTCATATGGTCTGACAGGTTGTGACCAAGTCAACAATTTAGTCACATATCTGAAACTTGTCACAGCAGGATGTCCTTAATAATTAGTCATTAGGCAGGAAAACTATGCACGGTTTGAGTGCAGTAGGTCAAACTGGAGTAAAGAAGATGCTCTGAACGCTTACAGATATTAACAACAGTCTTACAGCAGGTTAAAGAATAATCTGACCATTCACATTTTTTCCCCTGTGCTTTGTTTAAAACCTTCCCAGTTGTGCTCCACCACGACAAAAACACAAGTATAAACCTAGAATAAGCTATATGTTGTGGTATTTTACGTGACACAGATCACCCGACACATCCATGTAAACACTTTTTAACCTTGTAAAATTTTGTGTATCTATCCAATCATATATACCTAATGTGTCACCACCCTGATTCTACAGCTCAAAGTGTGCACATATGAATCCCATCAGTGGCTTTCTAATCTTAGCGACCCATTTAGGTGCTTGAAACAGGACTGGTATTTTGCCCCACTAAAAGTGGATCATTGTCTGATTTCTGCAGCACTCTCAGTGGATGTGACACTGTAAAATTTCTGTTCCAGGCTGTTACACCCTTACCTCACCATTTGCAGCAAGAAAAATGTCGAGTCTGGCATTGGTCCTCACTTGGTCCACTTTTATTTCTCCCTTTGGCTAAAAAAGCAGGAAGTGCAAAGCAAGTGGGATTCTTGGGGTCATTCGTCTCACAGACCTCATTGGTTCCTTTAGAAATTATTTAAAGGGACTTAGCGAAGGTCAGACTTGGCAAATCTTTTATTTTGGACAGGAACCTTTACTAGGGCTGATTAAATGTCAGCAGCATTTGTTTTTTGACAATTCCAAACTGGAATACGATTTTTTTTCTGTTAAAAATGGGCAAAAAAAAGCATTTAACATGCACATGAGCTGCATGCATGTGAGTCATTTTTCTGTCTGAGCTGAGATTAGTTATTATCATGACATAAAGAGTCTCAAATTAATGAGCTTAAATTTTCTTGCAGCCTGGTGGAACAAACCTGTGGACCATCTCAACTGACCCCTGATGTCTTAGAAGTAAAACTTTTAAAAAATGAATAAAAGCTGTAGCTTCAGCAGGGCGCTTGTGATGCGAAAGGAGACACACACATTTTTTCTTAAATCTGTAAACAAATCATGCTAAATGTCACCTGTTACTGCACTAACTCTGTTCTGGAGCTTTAAGAAATTAACAGTGTAGCAGCACAAGATCCAGTTTTCAACCAGCTTCGGGCTCGAGTGACCCTCCAGCTCACAGAAGGTTTTCAGAGCAGATTGGCAAGTACAATTCACTGCACAATCTGATATCTTGGTGTTTCGATTATCATAATTAATCTGCTCCAGGTTCAACATTGCAAGTGACCAGTCGCATTGCTGTGATGTCATAGTTGTTGAATGTGGAAACACCATCACAGCAAAAACTAACCTTGACCCTGTTGGTGTTTGTTTTTTCCTGAGTAGACATTGGCAGGTTTCTTTCCACGTCACAATACTGTGACATCACAACAATGTGATTGATTTCTGGCCGTGTTAGCCTGGACCAACATTAATTATGATGATCCAGGAACAACAGCAACACAAGTCAGTACTCCTACTATCACCAGCTGCAGCACAAAATTGGATATATTTTTGAGCTGTGGGGTGAGCCTTGGAACACTTTCCCGATGAGGCTTCTTGTCGAGAGACAGGAAGAGCCAGTGCTATCTGGTAAGAGGTAGTTGAACCTTCAAAATAAGAGCACAGGGCTTGTCCGATAGTTTGATTGTGTCACCTCAGACAGACGAAAGCAAATAAATAAATCAGTTAATATTCTTGGTGGTATTATGAGTACTGCTGTATGTATGTACAATTATGTGCACGTAAATAACAAATATTAGCCGAGCTTTTTTTCCCCTTGGTGATGTGGGTCTCTACTGTGATGACATTGACACTTAAGTAAATTACACAGACCATTGGAGAAAATGGTTTCATATTGATGGTTTGTATCTGTGACTGCTTGTTTTCAATCCATTCATGTGCTATAATATATGAATGTACTGTATCAAGCATTTAGGTTTATTATTGTCAGACTGACACAGAAAAACCAACATTTTCTACCAGAGTTTTTGTTTTTTAGATCAACGGCTCAGGCTTATTTTAAAGTAATCGGTCCTATCTACTCCAATTTATGGATTTCAACATTTCTTTCTTTTTGGTTGTTTCACTGTTTACTGTACCAAAGTCATTGTTGCACTACCCTGCTCTGAACTTACTACAGTAAAAATAAAACATGTTCACTGTCACCATTTAGTGTTTCCTCAGTGAGAAAACTCATCAAGGTTTGTGCTCACAGGGGGAAAAAACCTCTTTCACGTCCTCTCTTGAAATATAAAGAGAAAAAAGTTTCAAAATGATGTATGAAGATGTGCGTGGGTGTGAGAGAGAATATTATTGTATAATGAGAATAAAGGCTTTCAATTCAATTTCAATTCAATTTTTTTCTGTAACGTAGGCCTAAAAAGATAAAGTGTTAAAGCAATGAGGGAACTTTTTTTAGCATTGTTTTTTTTTTTTTATAAAGTGGCACTCACGTGCTTCCATACTTTTCATAAAACATCCTTTTGTACTAATAATAGCATTAGCTGCTCCAAATCTTAAGACCCGACTTAACTTAAAAATTGTGTCACCAGATCAAATAATTGGATGCACTACAAATCCCACTTCTAAAAACTTTCTATAGCAATGTCACAAGTTCTTGCACCTGTTGGTTAAAATTATTTAAAGCTGCTGCTTGTCGAACTCTGTCAGACCTGCTGGTTATTGTTGTATAAGCAGCAGTACTGCCTGAAAATAAGACTGCTATCTTTGAGTGTTATCGTAGTAGTATATTAAATAGACCTGCATGCTATGTCTTTCATGTACTGGCTATGACTACCTTGTGCTGCACTGTACTTTGCATAAATATAGTTAAATGTAAGTGGCCTGTATTTTTATAGCGCTTTTACTAGTCCCGCCTAGGGACCCCAAAGCGCTTTACACGTCCAGTCATCCACCCATTCACTCTCACATTCACACACTGGTGGAGGCAAGCTACAGTTGTAGCCACAGCTGCCCTGGGGCAGACTGACAGAAGCGAGGCTGCCATATCGCGCCATCGGCCCTTCTGGCCAACACCAGTAGGCGGTAGGTGAAGTGTCTTGCCCAAGGACACAACGACTGAGACTGTCCGAGCCGGGGCTCGAACCGGCAACCTTCCGATTACAAGGCGAACTCCCAACTCTTGAGCCACGATCGCCCTAAAGTTTAAGTTAAAGTTTCTCCGTGCTTATAAGAAGAGTAGTAATGAAGATTTTCCATCTGTGCGAAGCCCACTGGCAGCAGCAGCCTCAGCCCCTAGCTAATCCTCTTAGACTGTTTTGTTGTTTTCCTTAATTGAAGTCTCTGTCGGGAGTCTCTGGTTCTCCTGGCTTGACTAGTACAGGACAGCTGTGCTCTCAGCTGAAATACACGCTAACAGGGGGTTGAGGATTTAGGAACAAACACAGGGAGTCCAGCCATTATTTCCCTGTTTTTACTTTTCGCTCATGTAAATTTTTGTAAATCTTCCTCCTGTTTTCTGTTGTCACCCCCTTGTGTGATTGCTTCCTAACTTCTTAACTTTCCTTTTTTTTTCCTTTTTTTTTTTGCAGAGTTGTTTTGAGGTCGGACTGCTGAGATGACAAGGCTGTGACCGTGTGTGACTAAGTGTGTCTGTATTGGACTCATTCCTGTGAGATGGCTACTGCAAAGAAAAGTGAGTGTATACTGTTGTATGCATTCTTTAAAAGTACTTCTAAGTCATTCTGTAGTAATGTGCCAGATGATGGTGTGATCTCCTGCAATTTTTAGAAACAGGAAATGCCCACTCTAAACTGGTGAGACAGACAGACAAACAGCAACGGCTGTAATATTCAACATATAGGCAGCCCACACTAACCCGAGATTCGAATGTTTTTGTTTTTTTAAGTTCTACTGAATAACTCAGTTGTGTGGCAACAGACTGCAAAAATAATTTGCATAAAGTTATTTGGGAAGGGGGGAGGTACTGAAAGAGGAAACCAGTTTGCTGATACATTTGGTACAGGAAATCACGCACAGTCGTGTGAAAAACTGAGTACACACAAGTTGTAAGTTGTAGATTTGCTGCTGTACGTGTTGTGTGACTCACTTTGGGCTAAGCGTTAGCTGTCACACAGACGGCCTCACATTTTGTTCTAGAATACGTTGGTATATAGAGAAGTGCATGGTCAACTCGGTGATTGCAAGGTGTCCAGGTCCTGTGACTGAAAATCAAGCCCAAATCATCATGCCTCCACTACCATGCTGACATTTGTTATGCGGTGTTTGTGCTGTGTATGTTTGGTTTTCTCCTAACGTGGTGCTGTGTATTATGGCCAAACATTTCCACTTTGTCATATCTGTCCAAAACACATTTTTCTGTAATTCCTGTTCAGATGCTACAGCCGAGTTGGCTTATTCTTTTTAGAGAGACGATGCTTTTTCTTGCTAACCCCTCCAAACAAGCGATACTTGTTAAGTCTTTGTCTAATATGATGAACTTTAACTTTTTCATGCACTTTAACATTTAACAAGCCACTGAGACCTGTAATGTTTGAGATGTCGCACTTGTTGTTTTTTCTGAGCAGGTTCTCTGAGCGTTACATGGTCAGACCATGAGGCTAATTTGCTTACATTGTGGCTTTGTGTTAAAATACACCTGAGTGCTCCAGACCAGCAGACTGCCAAAACTTCTGCTTTTATAGAGGTGCTCACAGTTGCTGATGATCAGTTAATCAAACTGATTTGATTAGGAGTATCTAAACTGCTACTTACCCTCTTAAGTAAGGGGTAAGTAAGGGTTTGTTTTTCACAGGAAAGGATAGGAAAGGAAATGATGAGTAGTCATGTGAAACTTTCATTTTCACATTACTATATATAGATGCGTAAAAACAAACAAACAAAAAAAAAAACAGTTTTACTCATCTGGGGCATGAGCTACAGTTTCAGATGCTTCATATTTGGCTAACTGACATAGCACTTCTTCTGCATTCATTGTTTATTAGAAGGTAAACGAAAGAAAAAAAATAGAGTAACCAATTCCCTGTTAGAATTCATGATGACGCATAACCACAGATTAACCATTTCAGCCATGACACAGCCTGACTTATGAATTATGTTTATCTCTATGAAAACTTAATCTCCTTCCCAGTAGTTATGGATACTTGTTGCCTTCACAGACCACTTTGCAGACCTTTGTTAGGTTCACTGATGGCTGGTTTTACAGGGTTTGGATTGGCTCAGATATCACAGGAACAGTGTCTCTTAGAAGTTGTTACCTTCAGTACAATAAAAGTATTTTATAATAAGCAGTAAAAATTTTACTGTGGAGATTTCAGTCATTTTCTTTTGTCCTTTGACCATTGCCGTGTGCGAGTATCTGTGGTAATCTGTAACACACAAAATGTTATTGTTGTTGCTTGTTTTTTAAAAATCTTTTCCCAGGAGGATTTTGTAAATTACTGTGCGCTCTCATCTGCTGCATATCAGCGGTATCGGTCTCCCTCAGTTGTCTTCATATGAAATTATATATTTGTTGTAGCTTGGACCACTTTATGGGCTTGGACACGTCTGTGTTACTTAGGGCTGAGGTCAGTGGATGTAAAGGCGACAGAAAAGAAGCTAAAAGAAGACAGGAAGACATAGATGAGTGTGTGTGATCTCACTTTAACCATGCCCAGCAGTGTGCTGAAAGCAAAATTGAAGTTTTTTTTTCCTCTTCTCCCCACAAAGAGTGCTACTAAATGTGGTAATATAACCAAATGTGAGAGTCTCAGGTGGGTCTTTTCAGAGTTGTTACCAAATATTGAAGCTTGCAGTTTGTTGGTGTGATGTTAACAGTAGACACTGGTAATATTTTTTTTAATCTTTTTATTAACTGCAGTTTTTTTCATTAATAACAGCTGATTGTTTTTTGGGGGGTTTTTTTTGCAATTTTTGGAGGTAATGATATTTTATGTCCAGTCTGCAAACACTGGACTTGATTCCTAAACCCACAAGGATTAGACTGATAGGCTAACCGACTACAGTAATATTCAGCAAAGCAGAAAGGGACATGCTGACAGGCAGATTAGTGGAAGGACATAAGTAGATGTATATTAATCTGAAATAAGCCAGTTGAGCAGGGCTGCGTGTTAATTTGTGTGTACAGATTCTTTTTTTGTGCTAACTCGGGATATGAGACCAGTCTAAACAGTGCCAGCTCTCAGTATTGTGATAATGATAGGGTTAGGGTTTGGCTCAGATCTGCGCCTTTGATGCAGTTCTTGTATGTGAAAGTACATCAAATACACACGAAATGCTTGTGTTAAAGAGGTTATCTGTAACTAGGTTTTCAGTCTAATGCAACTTAAATATATAAAATCAAAGGTTAATTTATTAAAATAATTCATCATTAAGAAAAATGTGCTTGGTCTAGTAAATTTCATTTGACCAGATTAAATTAAATGTAAGTACATTGTACTTATGTAACAAAAATTATATGTTGAATAACTTAAAGTCGGCAATCTGGGCAGATATATTTTTTTGAGTGTCTTTAACCAGGGGTTAAAGCGGGATTTGGACAGCTCTAACAGCAGCTCAGATAACAACCATAGATATATATTTGTTTGTCTTAGTGGCTTTGTTAGATTTGTTTTGTTTGTGTAGAGGCTGCGTGATCTGCTGACCTTTTTTTTGCTGCTGTGGCTTATGTTTATGGATCTTTGTGGATTTAGGCAGCTGCCTTGTATAATATATCAGCAGATATTACTCAGGCTGGGACACTAGCTTGAGTGATATCTGCCTAGCTGTAGTATGAAATTGGAATTTGAGTGAAAACCCTGACCTAACCAAACAGTGAGCCTGGTTACTACTGCAAATAAAAAAAAAAAAACTTTAACAGGCTTCATGTATAATGTTTACCCCACATAGCCTGTACTTAGGTGCGCCGTCCAAGTGTACTAACAGCTAGTCAAATTTCAATGACTCATTTTTTTTCCATCTGTGAGAACAGTATCATCCGTGATTGATTTGTTTGTGTAAAAACCTCTCGTTCTTTCTTTGAACTCCTAACTGGCTCACCAGCTAGTAGCAAACACTCATCTTTATCCATCCTCCTTTAACAAATAAAAAAAAATAAAATAACCTATGACTTATTTATTACTAATTCTATTTATTGCAGCTTTCAGTTTCTTTAAGATGATTATGCTTAATTTGCTGAGAAGTCATTGCCCATTAAAAGTCTTCTTCAATCATCCCCTTGTGTCCTTTGAACTCAGCCGATCTGCTCTTTCATTGAATTGTATTTCTAATTATTGTTCTTTACATTTTGCATTTGTGAGACCATGTTTCACACCCCCAAAATATTAGTAGGGACGTAAAAATATCAGTGGTAAATCTTAACTGTAGTAACAACCAGGGCTGGGCCATATCATATGGTCAGTGATAATAATAGTATAAATATAATATAAAAAAATGTCATATCATTGCTATAGCGATGCTATACAAGCCCGGGCGTGTCTGAAAACACTGTGCCAGGCTCCAAACATTTAGTATCTAAAAATGAAGGTACTCTAGAAACCTCCAACAAAGCAGAGTCCTTCAAAATAGATGAGAAAACCAACCCCACCAAATGTGGAAGCAACACACTTATTTTACCTCACTGCTGAGTGAAACCAGGCTATAAAAACAGCAAACACTAGCAGCATGTTTAAAGTCTCTTTTATTCCTTATTGTGAAGCTCAATTTGAACTTCAGCAAGTCATTATTAGTATGTATGCCTAAATGCATTGAGTTGCTGCAAGATAATTGGCTGATTACATATTTACAATACTGAGCAGTTGAACAAATGTATCTTATAAAGTGGCCAGCGAGTGGATCTGTAAATACACATGTAGCGTCATGGTCATTTGTTAGTTTCTGAGCAAAACATTACAGCTGTTAAATTTACAACTCATGCCATTATTTTTTTTTCTTAAACTGCTAATTTTTCCACATGGAGTCAAAGTTCAGGTAGACTCGCTGTAGATAAAAGCACATTTCTTAATCAGACTTTTCAAGCTATAGCATATCCTTTTGACTGTGAAAGGCTGCTTTACTGCAAAAAGTCTGCCTTTACATGAGTAATTACTCTCCCATGAAGCCCTATTTTATGAACTTCAAGGCTTCACTCAAAAAGCCTTATAGCAGGGTGAAAAACTTTAAGTGCTCTCATCACGTGATTTAGATGATTATAGTAAAGCTTAATATTTGATAGAGAGCTACGTTTTCTCAGAAAGAAAGAAAAAATGCATACATATTATTGCTGAAGTTTAATTTATGTGTGGTGATCATTATATCATTGTATCCACTCACCTTCTATTTGAATAAAAAAGGAAAAAGAGAGCCCTAGGCTCTATTTTTCAAATGTTATTGAGTTTCTCACGTGTATTGGTAATCTATACTCCAAAATAAGATACAAGAAATGTCTAGTAGATGTTAAAAGATTTGCTCTTGATCAGTATAAAGCATTACTCCTACAGGAGCTGATGAATTTAAGCTTATAGTTTATTCAGAAATGCATTTGTAATGATTCTATAAAACAAATGATGATATCCGATAAAACCTCTCTGACTTCTGGGTGTCTTCAATAAAGGTAAAAAGAAAATGTGCAGATAAATTATGAACTAATTAAATTATTAAAAGGGTTTTGTAAAAAACAAACAAAAAAAATCACGT